AGAGGCGTGAGAATGAAGATGTGAGCTGATGTAACGGATACGGCTAGCGAAGATCTAATGATGTCGTGTAACAGCAGAGATCCCGATGCCAAGACGGACGAGTCAGAGACGAAAGTCGACCGGATAAAGTTATGGATCGAGCGTTAAGAGCGGCCGCAAGCCATCTGAGGCAAAGGTCCGAATCTGGCAGGCGGAATGCAATCGAAGAAACGAACAGACCGAAGATTTGTCGATAAGCGCGCGCGGTGCTATCAGCGATGTGAAGTAGTCGAGTGGCGATGTACATTTCAGCGAAGAGTGGGTCGATGGAGGAATCATAAAAATGAGTGCTGACTCGAGTGAAAGATGAGAGGTCTAGAGGCGACAAGCGCAAAGCAATCTCACGAACCATTTCACTGATTCGGAGTAAAGAAGACATTATGTGAGACAAAAGGGATCGGAGAGTGACGCTTCAAATAAGAAAACAGTATTATCTTAGGAGAGGAGGACAGCGAAAATGAGAGTGATTTGGGGTCGTTCCAGGGAAGGGCCTGATATCTTCCTTCCCTCCTCAGACCCCTTACTTTTCCTTATCCATTGGTTGAAGTGGTTTCTTGCATTGCATACCTCCGACTGGGCCACATTTCTGCCCCAATTGCATTCAAAACATCAAATATCCAGCCAGGCTACTGGCGACTCACCTCCAAGCCCACCTGCATTATTCACCTTGAACTACATGTAAAACTGGACTGATGCTAACTAGAAGTTGTATCAAGATATATTAGATGCTTGAGTTCTCAATGAGACCAGATTGAATGGTCCTACTATCAGCAAAACTGGAAAATGAAGGGATGTAGGTGCATCCTACTGAAATACACCAGACGTTATAGCGCCAGCGAGCGTGAGAATTTTATTCTCTGCTCGCGTGGCATTCCATGCGAGTGATGCGCTATAACGGATGGGGACGAGACTACTCAGATTGATGAATAACGGACAGATTGATTTGGAGAGGTTGCGATTGAGATGAAACTAAAAAGGAAACTAGACGACTACTAGACAGGACTGTCCAATTGTAATCGGTTCGCTCGCTCGCTCGTCGATATTGAAGAAAAAGTTCATCAATTAAATACCTTTTTGAGAATATTGCCCGGACCACGAGTGAGTTAACCCCCAGAAGTTTCAGACTCCGCTGCGGCACACTTTGTCCTGAAGGTTCATCGATTATAGTGCACCAGTCATACCTGGAAAATCATGACTCAGCCAGAATCCCTAACATTTCTGGAAGTCTACATAAGCAATAGGCGCTGCTGCTGGCAGCCGTAGCGGAAAATGGGGTGGGGGTTTGGGCAGAGCCAAACACGGACAAGCGCGCCCATCACGGGACCTTCTTGGCTTGTCACAAACCGCTTTTTGGAGCTCCATCCGGTATCCTCGAATTTGGACTCAGCAGAGACGCCGCCGACGTCAGGCGTTTTGTGGTTCTTTAGTGGCGTTTTCTTGACCGTTCTGCTGTATTGGCGGGGGCAAGTATGTCTTTTCCTTCCCATTCCTCCGACGCTCGACCATCGACGACGAGCCCTTTTCCCCTCGACACCATACAGGAATTTGATCAGAATTCAGAAAATCAGCGCTCAGCTTCGAGACTGCTTCATTCAGCATATTCACTTGATTGTTCAGCATGATACATGGCAGGGCCAGAGGGCCGAGTAATCGAGTTTGTTTTCGAGGTTTGCGCTGCTTGCCATGTAACCTGTGATTCATCATTCGTTTCCTGTTTCTGTCTCTTATTCGTCTTTCTGACCTCGCTTCCAAGCAAAGCGACCTGCCTCGAGCCTCAAGCCGAAGCCAACCATATACGTACAATGTTGTCACGTTCAAGAGCACGTTGCGTCAAAGAATCTCAAAGAAGCTTCGACGAAGCTGAATAATCCAAAATTTCTTGAATTTGAATCTTCACTACCCAATTGATGTAAGCGGGCTTCTGCTGCTTTGTTCGTCCATTGACCTCCGTTCTAGCTTTCTGTATGGAATTCTTCAGCGACTTTCTTGCGACGAACGATACGCCGAACGAAGAACAATCGCAGCGTCTCCGAGAATCTCTGGACGCCCAGGATGTTGAGGTAGCACATCTCGTGGCCGAGATAACCCGTATGCAGCTTATTGTCGATCGAAAGCTGAAAGCTGCAGCACCATATCGACTGGCACTGTCTGCTCTACGACGATTTCCGGCAGAATTGCTGTCCGAGATCTTTATCCATTGCACCCCGGTCGACGAATCTTCTTCTCGTCCCGACACATTGCCACTTCTTCTTTGTGCTGTCAGCAGCAGATGGCGTGCAATTGCGATCAGTACACCAGCTTTGTGGTCCCAATTCTCGACGTTTAGAAGGCATCCAGTCGGGTTTGACGGTGTCTGCGAGCTCTTCAAACTCTTTCTCGTTCGTTCAGGCTCGAGACCATTATCCATATCCTTTCAGCTGGATCCTTCACCATCCGTTGCATTTCAAAAGCAGTTTCTCGACATCTGCATGTCTCAAATCAGCCGATGGAAACATTTTGCTTTGCGCGATAGAGTTACTCCGGACGTCGTCATTCCTTTCGCTCCAATATCCCCTGGACAGATCCTTCCACATCTTGAGAAGTTCAACTTCATTTTCCTTGCATCACATGTGCCCTGGGCTATCTCCATTGTCCGCTCGGCCACCAGTTCTCTTCGAGAGCTGTTTTGGCGGGGCCCTAGCACCCAACTTTCGACAATGTACTGGCCGAAGCTGGTCAATCTCGACTTGGGAAACAGTATCTTCGGGGCAGTGCCTCTGGCACCCTCGATGATTCTCGCGATGCTGAGACAGTGTCCAGCCTTGGAGGAATGCATCTTGTTCATCGGTTTCCAGACAGACCGCTCCAGCTTCCCATACATCATCCTTTCTCATCTTCAATCGGTGACTATTATTCCAGAAGAGAACATATATGTCGAGTTGTCATTGTTCTTCGACGCCCTTCGACTTCCAGCTCTTCAGACATTGTCGGTTGAGGGTCACGGCACTGCAGAGATATTCAAGTGGCCAAATTCGTCATTCATATCTCTACTCCGGCGATCGGGATGCTCGTTACACAGTCTGACATTGCGCAATCTTTCTGTAGAGTGTGATGATAAAGGACTTGGATTCGGGTTTACTCAGACGACGATGGGTAACCTCGAAAAGCTCAGCATCATGTTCGACAATGAGGAATACCACGGAGCACCTTGCGCTCATGTTCCCGATACATTGCTGCAGTCTTTGACCTGGGTCGACGAACGCCGTCTACTTCCAAACCTCAAGAATGCTACCTTGATGGTGAAAGGATACCAGGTATCGTTGTGCCGTAGAATGGTCAAGTCGCGTTTGAATGGTAAGAATAACATCCATTTGGAGATGGGTACAGCTAGTCCTTTCGAAGGAAATGAGATCCGGCTTGCGGCGACATCGATGCGGAAAGCTGGGTTGAACGTCGAGGTTGAAAGATCCATGTACTATAATATGGCATTTTCATGGTGAGCCTGATAAGCCGTCGCTTTTTTGAATCGTGCTCATATCTTCGCAGAAATCATTTGGGTATATAGTCTTTTTGCTAGAATGTAGCGCTTTTCTTGTTGATTATTGTTTCTGTGCGGCTCATTTCTTACGCAATTTGACTCACAAGTACGTGTCTGTCAAGTTCGTTCTTGCAATCGTTGGACGCGGCACACTGTCACCAGCGGTTGACGGCCGTTACGTTGAACCGGGGCCTGAAAATGCCGAAAAAAAGGCAAAAAGTTTCTAATTTTGGAAACCGTAACGCAAAATTTCGGCCCGGTTTCCCAAATTTAAATGTTGGGCTGTAACCAGTCGCCCAGTGGTTTCCTTCGCACAAGTCCTTACAGTATGGATTTCTTAAAAAAACCAGCGTTTCGTCATGGACCTTGGATGCCGAGTCAGCCAATATAACATGAATCCATTGACTGAACGATATGGCTGAATGGAAGTGGGCTCGACTCGATTGTTGATGATCAATCGCTTGGCGCAGAGCCTACATATTGGTCGACGCTCTTCTTTGAACAGTAAAGGACCGCTTCGCACAGTGTACAAGTTCCCTGACTCCATTGATATTAGGTATAGGATGCTGAGAAACTAATAGTATAAAGCTGCAGGTTCCAATGCATAGACATCAGTCACTCCTGTGATCTTTGCTTTAATCCCTCTACTACTCCGCTCGCTATGCAATTCTTCGCTCTTTTGGTTGCTTTATTGCCCCTTGTCGGTACTCTTCCCGCCGACCGAGCAATCATTCGCAAGTGAGACGTGGGCTACAAGGTCAGGAGTATTTAACTCAAGTTTTTCGTGGGTACTGAATAAACAGGTTACGGCGCGCCGAACATCTACCGCTAGTCTGATTCAAGGAGACAGGCTGTTCAATGGATATCTACAGTTGAATCGGGATATTCAATTCGGTGGATCGAACACTATTGCATCATCCGTGGCGCCAGCGGACAATGTGTGAACATCCCACGCGCCTCCAACAACGACAAATCTGGAGTCTTGGAACTGACTCCGACCAGAACTGCTTCTTCTATATGTGAGTGATTCATCTAGAACCATCGTGCACAGTTTCTCATTGAAGTACTCAGTGACAGCAACTGCCTTGGCACTCAGATTGGACTTATCAGGAGTTCTGGTATTGATGATTTGAATACGACCCCCTAGAACGATCTCATCTCCTCGCAAGTGTGCGTATCATGAGGACTCAAATACATTTTCCACGCTAAAATTCGGATAAGGAATCGATTACTTAGTAGTGGGTGTCAGAAATCTGACGAGCGTATCTTATGTATGTGGCGTCCGAGCATTCCATCGGTGTAAGTAATAATCTACTGGATTTTTTGGTATTCTGTATCGATTTATCATTGATTTTGAACTGAGCCGATGAATGATAAATGATGGAGCCTATGACCAAATGATCTGAGATCCAGGTGGTCAACTTCAACTGGTCAAGTCCTCCTATCCCTGGTAGTATATCGGTTAGTACACGCGCCTGTCATGGCTGTACCATAATCTGTGCGCGCGCGAAAGCGGGGTTCGACTCCCCGCCAGGGAGCTGATTATCGCGATAAGACAAGTTGTTTTTGTGGTTTTTGGTTTTTTCCCCCTCATGTTGAACGGATATGTCAACATGAACCGCCATGAGAAGCTCCTCAGTCTCAGAAAGGAATGGCCATTCCTAGCAAAGAGAAATTCCTAGTCACATTTCACTTGAATGGTGACCAGAACAAGCAAATTATTCCGAGGCCCGGTAACATCGCTGGAATGCGTCTTGATACTCCGCACCTTACGCTTCGGTAGGAACCCCCTGGAAGGAGTTCGGGCGGTACGTCAAGAGCGTCTCGAGGTTTTCCCAAAATAACCTCGGCGCCCAACATCGTCGTAAAGCCAAGACGAGGGTTGGGTACTGTCCATGTTGCTGTGCATCTAGAGTTACACCAGTCTCCGGACTGGTCGCCTCTGCACAAAGTTGTAGCAGTAGCTCCCGCTACACTCCTGAGAGGCCGGATCCGAAGGTGACGGTCGGAAAGAGACAAAAGGGAAAGTTGATGTAGTGGAAAATGGACGTCTCTACGGGGTTACGGTCAAATCTTTCTATATTACAGTAGTAGAATTGGACCATAATAGCAGCTCAGTAGCCGGTAAACAGCACTGTAATCAATGATTTCATCGTCATGCGTCTTGATTCTTTTCATCTTGTTATCCATGCGCTTGTACATGGCTTACGAACGGCCTTGCAAAAGCATTGGATGCATATTCTCTGGCCACCACTCGAGAGGCTGTGAATCTAGTTTTCTGACATGTCATATAGCATGGATGACAGCCTCGGGCGCACGTCACATCCATTGTAGGTGTCTTCTGGCGCAAGCGTGGTGTACAATAGTCGCAGCCAATCTTGACAATGGGATCTTCGTTCCATAATATTTCAGCAGACAATTGTACAAAATTAAAATTCCTCAATGAACTCTGCGCACAATCATCGGAACTTTGCCATCTACTTCTCCTTCGACGTTCGGCTTGGTAATCAACCCTCCCCATCGACCAATCTTTGTTTGTGGACCATCTGGGAGCTCGAACTTGTAGTTCCGTATAATGAGGGAAAGGACACTTTTGAACTCTGCGACACAGTATCCAGATAGGACTTTATTGTGAAGTAGAGACTCACCAGTCAAAGCAAAACTCTTTCCCAAGCACTCTCGTGGTCCAGCTATGAAGGTGAGAATGTGTCGATGTGACTGAAGATCTTTGGCAAGGCCAGACTCAGGTTCCAACCACCGCTCCGGCCTGAATTCTTTGGCATCTGGTCCCCAGAACATCTCAGAGTTATTGATAGCACGGATCGGAACAACCACGATGGCTCCCTGAGGAATTGCGACATTGGAGACCATCTCCCCGCTACGAGTGGTGATCGGAGCCGAAAGCGGCACGATATCGTTCTGATTGCACTAGCCCAAATTTAGCCGAATCGAATGGAAAGTTGATTGATTTCGTACCCGTCTAGCTGTTTCAGGGACTGCAGGGTGAAGTCTGAGGATCTCGTGAACGACAGCGTCGAGATAGGGTAAAGCTGTTGGCGAGGAAAGCTGATCATAGGTCGCATCGTTTGGCCCTAGATTCAGGAGTTCTTCGCGAAGCTTTTCCTGCTTATCTTGGGCTCTCGCCAGCTCAATCAAGGCCCACTGCAAGAATTGGGTCAGGGTGATTCCATAGTAGAGGGTACTGAACTCACCGTCATGCTGACTGTACGCGCAGCACTCGATGTTAGCCTGATCGATATCGGTGAAAAAAAGACTCACCAGCGGTGGTTACATATCCTAGCGACTCTACGTCAGAAGTAGGACCAGATAGAGTAGAATGCACACTGACCTGCTATAAGGAGCGTGTTCTAACGACAAGATGATAAGTACCAAGCCACATAGTGCTGAAAATAGTCATACCATCTACGGGGAATGGTCAAAACAGACTTGGAACTGATCAACAGTGCGTCGTACCTGTCCTTGAATCTCTTCCTGACTCAGATACATATCCGCATCAGTGCTTGATGACTTGACTATCCGAGGACTCAGCAGAGGCACCCAAAGAAAAGAAATCACGACGTACTCAAAGCTCCAATGACTGACTTGTCGCCAGACTGTGACCCCTCCATTGTTTTCTCCTTCCGAACCCGTTCAACCAACTCGGTTCCAACGGCATTCAAGCTCTCCTTGAGTCTTCGAATGAACCTTGCGCGCCCGATGGGTAGCTTGAGCAGAAATGGGAGTATGTTTCCCATAATGAACGAGAGGGGTGAGACACTCGGACGATTTCCGACATCTTTACCGAAGCTGTCCAGCGCTTGCGCGATGAGAGGCTTCTTGCCATCCAAAGTACCAAAGTCGTGAGAGAAGCCTCCCATTCCGATACTATCCAATCTGAAACCGTTTCGTTGGATAGGGAAGAGCAATATCGAGCCAAGTTAAGACTCACGCCACTGCAGTCATCCTAAAGAGACGATATGGATGATAAGTGCAGCGCTTGGCGGAAGCGTGAATGGAAAATCATACCATTTCTGCACCTCAATAGTGGCAAAATCCTGGGTACTAGCGTCCAGTTGAGCATCCCAGGCAGCTTTAACCTTGAAGACATCCTGAATGAGCACCGGAATGGATTGATAAATGTCAAGAACATACCTTGTAAGCGGCATCGAAGAAGACATTTGTGATTCCACGAATAGTGGCCGGACTGAACGAGGGATTCAATGACTTTCTCTGTCTATGGACATCAACCAAAGTCAGCGCAAACAAAATATCAAGACGCGTTGTGCAGAGACCTTCGATGGGCATCGCCTTCAGCGGTCAAGAGACCATTACCGAACTGATTCGGGCAGGTCAGGTAGAGGCCAGACTGTATCTGTTACACGTACCAATCTTGCGATGAAGGTTCGAGCGGCTGGGGTCTGGGTATATCCTGATTCGCCTCGGGCGTAAAAGTGGGCTATTGCCTTCGGGTCCATTAGCACGATCCTTTTCCGGCCCATCATCCATGGCACAGCGAAAACAGGACCATGTTCCGCGGCCCAGTCATCATAAAGACTAGCAGTCTCAGGCTTGGTCTGATTGAAGTCGAAGGTTTGTCGTTGGTAACCGTACACAAAGCTGGGACTTGTGGTTGGTCCCCGAAGAGGAGTTGCATATGAGCTCTGGATGAGCCTTTGCACGACTTTAAACAGAATCCAGGTCGACACCCCCACTGCAAGGAGATTGAATCCGCTGAGCTGCGCAACTAGGGTCATGATGGGATGTAAGAAGAAAGCAATCGAAGCGTGAATCACGAGTTTATATTTATAGTCTGACATTCAGTCTTTCTCACACCGTTCTGATCCTTGTCAAAGCGACGTTGGGTACATTGGCGCTGGGCCGTAGATTTACGGAGACAAACGGTTTTGAGCGACTAGGCTTTGGAAGACGATGAGATATCCATGCCGAGACTGAACCTCGCTCTATTCAATTTTGGCAAGCGCAGTTCGAATATTCTCGACGCAAAGATGCTTGTAGACAAATCACCAGTGTATCAGCGGCCTCTCGGGATTTTCCGAATTTACTTCGGGATTCTGGAGTCTGGACTTTGAAAGCTTAAAATAGATTTCTGAAATCGCTTGTGCCAGTGATCTTAGTTCCACGATCTGATCTCTAATCCTGCTTTGGAAGTCATCGGAAAAGGCTCACGTATGTAGAACATTGGGCCTTTACTGTTAAAAACTCCGTTAGCCTCCACAGTCCCTTAACGACCGTCTCTATTGATAAATCCCTTGGCATCACAAGAGAATCGTCTGCCTTGAGCCGAATCTCCGTGAGCTCCTCGTATCGTCACTAACATAGCCTCAAGTCAATAAGCTGTCGGTATGTACTAGATCAGTCTTTAAACTCTCGGGAAGTGGAAAATGGCGCTCGGCAAACGTAGTTCATTACTACGGCTTGCGCCTGTCGCGGCCTTCTGTACCGGACGATCAGAATCCAAATTCAGCGTTAGTCTCTCATAGCCAGACTCTAGTACAGGTGACGGATATAGTCTCAAAGTTATCTAACCTCGAAATACTAGAAACTTGCTGTTTCACGAATGATACCCTCGATATCAATCGGGGGTTACACGACCGCATTTTGCCAGAAATCGTCAAGCTTCCCCATCTGAAGACTTTTGTCTCCCGACGGCCTAGAGAGGGGGATAATACAACCGAGGATGATCACGTCGATGATGATCTTGCCCACAGCAGTGACGATTGTCTTCCGAACTGCTTTCTCGACTTGTACTACCAGCGCTGGACGACCTCGAAATCGTGGTTTGCAAATCAACAGAAGAGCTAGGAGTTTTGCTCCGTGACTCTCAATGTCCTTTGAAGTCACTGTATCTAGAGGCGCACGACCTGCCTGAGGATGCCGTTGTCGATCTGCTGAGTGAGATCCCGACGCTCGAATCGTTTACACTCAGATGCGACGACCAGATCATCAAACGGTTCATGAGACGAGTTCCTTGGGGATCCTGCAATCATTCCCTATTTGCGGTATCTTGGGATCTTTAACGAATGGGATATTGATGCAGAAGAATTGGGTCGGCTCAAGGTTTCACGACCCTCGCTCTCAGTGCTGGACATAGCAGGAGCCATGACAGACAAACTCAGGGTGTAGGTCACGGAGGAAGTAACCAGTTTACTTAGTGGTCAACACAGGCTAGAAACTAATACAATACTATGTACTACTTGAAGTTTCTTTCTATCCAAGTATCTAACCTTGCGGGTGTTAGCCTTGGCTCGAGAAGCAAGATATGCCATCTTAGATTGGTCCTTGTACTTACCTTACCCCTTCTCACTGTTACGATTCCCATTTGTATCAGCAGGGTCTTGGTGGAATGGAGCGTGCACGATCATCAAAGACCCGATGCGGAGACCAGGTCACCCGGTCCATTCCCACCCGTCACCGGCTTGTTCCCGGCCAGTCTCTCTCTCAACCGTAATTCTGCGGGCTACTAAACAGAATTCGCAGTCCTTGCTGCTTTTCTATAAGCTGCTGACGGTGGTACAAG